AGTCCATGAGTTCAGCTCCTGGGGGACCTCTCCTCTGCAAACAGTTTGGTTTTATTTGAGCACAGGGCAGTGGTACACCCCAGCCCAAATCAGAACCTTGCTGGGTAACATTGCATACCACGGATCTCTGCTGCTGACTGCGCTCAGTGCACTGGAGGGCACGAGACCACTGGTGGAAGCAGGGAGGACATAAATGTCAGGAGTCTGGCTTTGGGGAGGTTTTGCATCGCAACATAGAGTGGAGTGCTGTGCATAGCAGATCTCCTCTTGGCCTGGACCCCCCTCATCCTCGCTAACTCACTCCAGAGGCTGTATTTAGCATTGGTGAATACCCACGTCTTCTCCAGCTCCTTTCCCACTCCAGAGCGCGGTGCCCAGCTGCAGCTTGTGCTAGTCGAGTGCCCCAGGAGTGTGCCAATGGGAATTGCCCGTGCGCACAGGTTCCCAGACTGAGCTCCATGGAGCACACGCTGGCGCTCTGCGGAGAGCGGGCTGGTGACACGGTTCTGCCTCCTCCTGCTGTCAAAACCACCACAGCCATGTCAGACACGTGCGACTGGTATGGGAGAACGTTCCCGTGATGGGGCGTGGGACGGCAGGTGCCCATGAGAGCTGGAACCCCCATTATTGCGTGGTGTGCAAAGGGCAGACTCTGAGAAGCAGTGCCCCTGAGAAGCAGCTCGGCAGGTGCCGGGGAGGGCAAAGAAAACTCGGGGTCCATTGTGTCTCCCAGATCCAGCTGCAGGACCTGAAATGGGAATTGGCTAGTAAGTGTGGGCAGCAAGTGGCCTCATGATGGGTGACCCTTGTCTCTGCTGCCTGTGAGGGTGCTCAGTGGGCAGGAGAGAGCCAACAGTGCAACCCAGCTTCTGTTTGCCATAGGCAGGGTTCACAGAACTTGCTCCCCATCCTCCAGGACTCATTCCATCAGTGAACATGGCAAACAAGGGACCCTCCTATGGGCTGAGCAGGGACGTGCAGTCCAAGATCGAGAAGAAGTATGATGATGAACTGGAAGAGCGCCTGGTGGAGTGGATCGTGGTCCAGTGCGGGGCTGGCGTGGGACGCCCTGAACGTGGCAGACTGGGGTTCCAGGTCTGGCTGAAGAATGGCATAGTAAGTGCGCATTGTTTGCCCCTTCTCTATGGCGGTGGCCATGCCATCTGTTGGCTCCCTTTGCACTGGGCCATTTAATGTTGAGTCTACCCTCTCCTTCGCTTGCAGGTGCTGAGTGAGCTGGTGAACAGCCTGTACCCAGAAGGCTCAAAGCCTGTGAAAATCCCCAAACCTCCTCCCACCATGGTCTTCAAACAGATGGAGCAGGTGGCCCAGTTCCTGAAGGCAGCTGAGGACTATGGTGTGGTGAAAACAGACATCTTCCAGACGGTCGACCTGTTTGAAGGTGAGGGTAGGAGGCTGGGTGCATCAGCTGGTCCTGCCCATGTGATGGGCAGATCCAGGCATGCATTACTATTTAATCACCTGTATTATTGTAGCCCCCAGGAGCCCCAGTCACTGACCAGAGCCCCACGGCACTAGGCGCTGTACATGTGCACAGAACAAAGAGCTGGTCCCTGTGCCTGGCGCTCACAATCCAAGTATAAACCAAAAGACATGAGATGGAGACAGACAGGGATGGGGGCATCCAAGGGAACAGTGAGCTGAAGTGTGGCGCTCCCTTTAGGAGCTGGGCTTCCTCCCTGAGCCCCTTCTTGGGGGGTAGACACCCCTTCCCCCAGGAACTGGGAGTGTAAATAGGGTAGGCCCTGCTGTGCCTGGTGCGTACTTGCTGCATAGGACTGACTAGCCCTTGCTGAGTGGTGGCTCACTTGCTAAGTTGCCAGCAGGTAACACGTTCGCCTCTTCGCAGGCGTGTTCGACAGCCAAATCCCAAAGAACCCAACACATGCTGCAGAAGCTAATGGGGCCTGGGCTTCCCAGGCCCAGATCTCCGGGAGGCCGGAGCGCTGGGGTGTGCTGTGCTCCTGGATGCGCCATGCGAGAGGTGGTGCTTTTGTGTCAGGGCACATGTCAGGGTGTGCTGCTGGGGGGAGGTGGTGAGAGCAGGTTCCTGGGGTCCGGGTACACCCCGGCACTGCGCTTCACCTCTTTGTGCCCCTCCCTGAGCGAGGCGCCCCCAGCTTCGTGGGTGGAGGAAAGCGTTCCATGTGGGTGCTGAGTTACACCCCACATGCACACAGAGGTTTCCGGCAGTCACGTAGGACGCACCCTTCCTTCTGCAGGCAAGGACATAGCGGCTGTGCAGAGAACAGTCATGGCCTTGGGCAGCCTGGCGGTCACGAAGAACGATGGACATTACCGCGGGGACCCCAACTGGTTTATGAAGTAAGCAGCAAAGTGTCCCTCCCCACAGCCCACCCTCAGCGTCTCCTGCTGCTGGGGACAGGCCCTCGGGAGCAGAGGTGTAGGGGGTGGGGTCAATGCTAGCCCCTCCAAATGGGTGTCATGCCTCCTGGCTGGTAGCACAGGGTCTCTTGCCTTTCCCCTGCGTTCCAGCTGGGGGCTGTGTGTGGAGCTGGTCAAACCATCGGTTATCCGGGGCAGGAAACTTCAGTGGCTCTGTCCTTGATGAAATTTCCCACAGCCAAAAAATCTGTTTTGTCACAAAAAAGCACCAAGAAGTTGTCAGGTTTTGAACATCTGTTTTCCGTACAAAGTGTCGGGCTTTTCCCCTGCTCCCGCAAACGGAATGGAAGCAGGGACCTTTCCGTGAACACTCGGACGAAAAGCTGGTGGTTTTGGTCAGAACGACTCCCCAGTCAAAAAGTTTGGGCCAGCTCTAGTTCCAGGGAAAATCTCTGCACAAGCCCAGAGGTGTGCAGAGCCCAGCTGGGCTTGGGGGGAGGGGAAGGGAGGAAGGACACAACACCCCTCTCCTGCTCTATCCCCTCCCCTCCCTGCTCTATCCCCTCCTGTCCATCAGCTGCGTCCCTTCAGGATGGGATGCACAGGACAGCAGGGGCCTGGAATGATTCTCTCCCTCTCCAGGAAATCGCAGGAGTACAAACGGGATTTCTCCGAAAGCCAGCTGAAGGAAGGGAAGAATGTGATTGGCTTGCAGATGGGCACCAACAAGGGGGCCTCGCAGGCTGGCATGACAGGCTATGGGCGGCCCCGGCAGATCATCAGTTAGATAGTCATGGAGAAGAGAAAACAAACCCCACCACAGGAACTGAGTCTTTAGCTCCCTCCTGACTAGAGCCCAACTGCAGCCAATGTGAATAGAGCCAGCGGAGCGCCAAAGGCCACCAGTTGGACCGAACACAAATCCATTGGTATTAATTTAGGTAACTTTTAAACAACACCTAACCCCAGCCCACAAGGCGATGCATGGAGTGAGGTGGGGAGACTCCCCCTCCCAAAGTATTTCTCTATAGGAGCAGCTTTATTTCAGCCACAAATATTGACCGCTTGCTCCATTTCCCAATGTCGCCTTTCCTCTCAGACCTTTGCATGTTCTCTGCTTCACTCCCCATGACTTAACTGTATTGTGAGCTAGATTTTTCTACTGTTTTATAGAGAAGGTTGTTACAAACATCCTACAATGTTACACCTGCCCCCAAGAAGGCTAAATTGGAAAGCACGTACCTGTTGCATACTTGGAATTACCCAGCCTTTCAATAAATCTTGCACAAGCAAAACCAAGTGCTTCTGTAAAGATCTATGCAAATGGGAAGGTAGTCAACTTAGCCTCTGTTTTGTACTTTATTTTTGTCAAAATTAAAAGAATTATGACTCTATTGCAGTTTGCTGAGGGTTTTTTTATTTTAAATTCTGACTAGCTCATCCTGGATTTTCAGTCTTGAGCACTCACAAAAACTCAAGATGAAAAGCAGCAAATGGTTTGAGTGAATGCTACAGAAAAGAGGGTGATGGCAAGTTGAATGTTTTTCTAAGAGCTGCTTTATTTCAAACAGGAATTAATGCAGGGAAATTCTATGGCCTGTGTTATGCATGTCAGGCTAGATGATTACAGTGGTCCCTGCTGGCTTTAAAATCTATGACTCAATGAAAACCCAAGTTCTCACCCCTACTGGGCAAACAGATGAGACTGATTTTGCAACCATGTGATTGTCCAGCAAAAGCAGGGCACTGATATCTTTAAAAGATACTTAAGACATTTAACACAAAGTTACTCCTCATTGTCCAAGCACTCAGAAGCTGGAAACAGAGAGCTTTGATTGTTGATTTTTCACCTTCTGGTTTGAATGAAGCAGCCTCGGCCAATGGCGCTTTTTGACCTGAGTTGCTGCTTTTTCTTTGTTTGGGTGATGAAGAAGCTTGGCTTGCTTACTCGTGTCTGCAGGGCCCTGGGCATGCCTGACAGAGTCAAAGAGCCAGCGCAGGGAACACGAGGCTGCAAAACCACGGCTTAGCTCAGTCAGTAGCAGTGGAAATACATGTAAAAAAACCCAACCCCCTCCCTCCATCAGAGTCCGTCAGTTCTGAAGTTAGGTCAGTGTTCGGCACTGACAACTCTTGGGGTGATGCTTGTCAGTTGTCCGAGGGACAGCACTTCACCAGGGCTGTCGCTAACAGCCAGCTGTGGTAACTAAGCAGTTGTCTGCCAGCTGTTTTGTGTATGGTTCTAAACAGGAAATAGCCATGCCAATGGCCATTTCTGGGCACAGTGAGGGATGAATGCCTCCTGACATGGCTCTGCTAGCCCCTTCGGGTGCATCGCCTGCCATCTGCTAACAGCCAGAACGCTGAGAGACCCACCCATGCAGGCTGGGTTTGAGTGTCAGAGGTCCTGAACATAGTCCCAGGGACGTCCCCTGGCTCTGCGGGTGCTCAGCACCCCTGAAAATCAGGCCCTGCTGTCCTGAGATGACTAAGTCAGTCAAACCATGCTCCCCGCCACCCTGCCTGCTGGCAAGTGCCTGGTTACCTTGCTCTTCCGCTGGGGGGAGGGCTTGGAGTGCTCAGAGCAGTTTAACGACAAGCCAACTGGCACACAAAGATTTCGGCTACTAGTCTGGTTTTTAAAGACTTTATTTTGGAAAGCTGCACAAAAAGGCCTTTGCTGTTTCAAAAATAAAACCCCAAATCTTTAGAAAAACAAAAGCTCCCACTGTCTGTGATGGATTGCTGCAAAAACAACTAAAACCCCCAACCTGTCAACCCCAATGTAACGCTTAAAATGCTCACCTGGAAAACCCATCAGGATTTAAAATCTGCTCCCTCAGCGTAGCTGACAGAGGAGCACTGTGCTAAGCAGCAGAGCGGGCCATGGCTGGAGACACAGAGTCCCCGTGACACGCTCATCCAGCCATGCAATGTATTGCTGGAATCGGGGTCCTGTCACCCTTGGAACACTCCGATGGCTTCCCCTCAAGCATCTGGAGGGGCACAGACCCTTCTACACCCCACCTTCCTCTGGGCCCTGTCCTGGGAATCACAGACGCAGACAAGCTATAGCAACTAGACAGGGGGAAAGGCACCTTCTCTCTGCACTCGCTGGGCCAACCAGCTGTGTTTGCTGCGAATGCCCTGTGTCGGGCCTCAATGCGCACACAAGGCCCAAGACAAACCAGGCCCTTTAATTTCCTCTAGCCAGACAATTGCTAATTTGTGAGAGGACGGGGTGAGCGTGGCGGCCGGAGCGGAACAGCAGGGAGAGGAAGGTGCAATTACTGCTGTTGGAAATGGGCAAACAGATTTTTTTGTCAGCATTTGGTCTACCTGGCTAATGTCAGCCAACTACTAAGAGAGCCGGAGGTGAAACAAGCGCAGTGCACGGAGACCACTGCTGCCAGCAGGCAGAGCCCAGAAAACACGGACAGCAGGGTAAGGCAGCTGGGTGAGGAAGGGGGAATGAAGACACCAGTCAGCCAAGCCAAGGCCACTAGATTTCGTATTGGCTAACACAGTCAACTAAGTGGCTACACACTGTGTAAAGGGCCTTCTCGCGCTGCAGGATGCCTTCACCCAGGCAGTTAAAGGGTCTCCTCCCAGGGAGGACCACTGCTTTAAGCAGCAGGCTTAGACACAGCCCAGGTCCTGAAGCGGCGATGCCACAGGCAGGCAAGAGGGAGGACAGCATCTTCAGAGCTTAAATGACAAACACCACCAGCCAAACTGTGGCTGTTGCTGGCTGAGCAGGGCCCCGGGGGTCGGCGTGAGAGCTTCCCCCTGCCCCTGTGCCATGAAAACAGGAACAAAGCCAAAGGGACACGATGCAAAGACAGACAGATGGCTGGCCAGCACACCCTGTGCTCACATGGCCCCTGCTGCCGTCCAGCTAACCCAACCATGTGCAGGGCTGGGGAACTCACAGCTGGTGCACGGCACTTCTGTCGGGGCAGGTGACTGCATGAAGCCTCACTCTGCCCCCTGCTAACAGGCTAAGGGCTCCCAGGATTTCAGACATTGCCCAGCACACTCCTGTGCAAGACCATGACTGCACAGGGAGAGGAACTCATGCACCTACCTGATGGCTGCCAGTGCCCTACCTCCCAGTAGGCTCTGGAAAGGGACAGCCTAGCTCTCGCCTTCCCAGCCTGCTGGTTACAGGCGGGCATGGCCGATCACCTCCCCAAGCCCTCATTTCTCAAGGCCCCCAATAGCTCAGGAGCACTCGCAGAGCCTGGGTGCTGACCCTTGGTTCGAGCTCTGGGAAGCATGAAGTGCACTGGGTACAAAACCCACCCCGAGCGAGCTGCCCAAGCCAGCTGGCATGGTGCCCATGCTGAGGACAAGAGACAGATGAGGCGTGGAGAGAGACAGCTGTGCGGCTGGACTCCCCTCTGGGTCAGAAAATCCAGCCCCAGATTCAGTGAAGTAACTAACCCTACAAGACCGAAGGGACTGTACAGCCGTTAACCTGGGGGCGGCCAGACAGGGCAGCCTGCGCAGTGTGTCCAATACAGCGTGTGGCCAGGCCATGATCCAGCTGGCTGAAGGGCTGGGCCTTTAGTCCCTGCAGGTCTGTAACTAAGGGAGTGACAGTCTCCTCAACTAATGCAGTTTGGGGCAGCCCCAGGGCTCCTGGCAAGGGGCTTGGGCCTGGGCAAAGTCGGGGGGTGCCTGCAGTACATGTAACCACTCCTGGGTGTAACCCCAGAGCATGAGCCAGAGAGTCACCAGGTCCAGAACCCAGGCTCTCCCCGCTGCACAATCACCCTGCATGACCCACCCCTGGCATCCGAGTACCGCAGCCGCGGGGCTGGGCTGCCGCTAATCCAACACTAAGGGCCTGACCACTCTCCCAGGGCTGTCAGCCAGGAGTGACCCCACTGAAGGCAATGGAGACGTGCGGGGGTCAAACTGCTGAGAGGAGTCAAGCTGGGGCTCTCCCTAGGCAAATCCCCTCTGAGAGAATTCCTGAGGAGCCTTCCACCATCTCTGCCTTTCCCCCAGGGCTGTGCCCTGCCTGCAGAACGCATGTCGGGGAGGGCACCAGCCATAGGGTCTGGGGGCTGCCCTCATGGAAACCTTCTGGCTTCCCTCTCCACACCTGAAAGTGCCACTCCAAAGCCAGCCCCAGGAGAGCGCTCGGACTCGCTGAGTGCACCATGCAGCAGGCAGGCCCTGCGGGGGGCACCCTGGGAGATGAAAGGAAGCTCAGTTCAGCGGATGCTGGGTGCTCACGGGCAGGGAGCAGGAGCGCAGGGCCTAGGGCTGAGGAAGGAGGGAAGCCCGAGTTTTGCCACTGGACAGACTCCATTATAAAATGAGTTAAGGCTTGTTTTGTTTATAAAAGGCAGGGAAACGGGCCTTTGCGATGGGGAATGTCGAGAGCAAGACGCTTGTCCATCCTCTCAGCCGTGGGCCTGTGTCATCCGAGCCACATCCAACGCCAACAATCCCCAAGTCAGCAGCGGCTCTGTGGGGGGGTTGGAAAGTCTCCCACACCCTGCACCCAGGGAAGGACAGGACCCAACATCACCCAGCATCCCAAGCTCTCGGCTCCTGCTAGCACATCTGCTGCTCCCTGTCTGCTGAGAGGAGTTCGGAGGCCAGGTCCCGGCCAAGATACGCTGAGCCTGAATGGATTGCTTCGTGAAAGCCTGCGGTTCGGCCATTGCTGTGCGGTTTGGGATCTTGGGGACTCCAGCTTCTCTCTTCCCCTAAGTTCTCTGGGGCCTCTGAGCTGGGCAGTGGATGCTCCAACTCCATCTCCACATCCTCCATGTCCTTCCCTGCATTGAGTGGGATGGACTCCATATCCATCCCATTCTCCACGTGCTTCTGCCGCCCAGCCCTGGGGTACCATTGGCAGGCAGGGAAGCTGCTGCACGTCAGATTGAAGACCACGTTGTTTCTGGACAGGGAAACCTCCAGCATGTAGTAGACAGTCCAGAAGACAGCAAAGCATCCCAGCAACATGAGCATCTGGGGAGAGGGAGAGGAAAGAGGAAGGAGAAAACCCCATTAGAAACCAAAGCCTCCTATTGAAACCCAAGAGCTAGTCTCTCCTACCCTCTCTCGACCCCAGTGGAAGCTGTGTGCCATGCCAGCTGGCCTGACAGGGGAGGAGTCCAAGGATGGGCCTCAAACATGCCTGCACCTCCTTCAAGGCCTTGTGTTTGCTGCAAAGGAGGATAGCTTTGTTTCCTGATAGGATTTGTAACCTGCATGGGGCCAGCTGGCTCCCTTCCTCTCAGGGACACCTGGTTTAGCCGAGGAGCAGCCTGAGCTCAGTGGAGTGGCTGGGCTCCAGGACGGGACCTGGGGAAGAAGCCTTGTCTCTCTGGACAGCAATCCCTCAAGCCAGCAAACGAACAGCGCACGTGAGATCGCCAGGGAGTTGCGTTCCAAACTTGCCCAGTAGGGTGGGGGCTGCAAAGTGGGGCCCGTGTGTTAATGTTGGGGGGAGAGAAACCTCAGACATGCCGGAAATCCCTCTCCCCGCTGCGTGGCATGGGAAAGCAGAACTGGGCAGAGCTAGCCCTTTAGGAGAACGGTGAATGGACGGAGATCGTGGGCAGGGCGAAAGGAGCTGCTGTGTGGGATTTGCTCACAAGGCCCAGGGAGGAGGCAGATGCCCAAAGGGCCGGACCAGGGCAGCGTTCACAGTGACTGTCACTGTGCGGATAGCCCCTGGCCTGCCCATCTTCTGCAGGCTGCTGGCCGCCATTTCAGTGCCAACAAGCAGGGTCGATGGGAACGTTCAGTGTCCCCGCGTAGAACGCAACATAGCGAGTGCCAGTGGTGGGGACCCTCCCTCTGGGTACAGAGGAGTTCGGGCTCCAAGGCCTTGGCCCTTGGCCTTCTGCTGAGACTGCCAGCGGGGCCAGGCAGTTCATGCCAAAGGAGTGTTCATGGCTCTTGCCGCGTGGGTCCGGGTACAGTGGGAACTGGGCTGAGACATGCCCTGCCCCCCAACTCATTCCAGCAACCAGCAGTCAAGTATTAAGTACTCTGGCTCGCTGCTGACTTGGACAGGACAGGAATTGGTGCCCCAGAGGACAAGCTCCAGATTCCACTGCTGCCCCCTTGAGCCATCCGGTCCCCAAATCAGCTCCCCAAAGCAAAGATGGGCCCCTGGTGTACGCCCTGGCAGGCCCTGCAGGCTTTACCTTGAGGGTGTTAGCTGTGATGGTGTACGGCTCCTCCTCGGTGATCTCCAGCCCTGGAGGGCATGGCAGGGACTCCCCACGGCTCAAGTACTGGCCACTCATGGCGTCCTCCACCAGCCTGAAGCCAAGACACACATTCAATTAACTGCACCCAGACAGGCCCCAGAGGCGAACCATCAGGGAAGAGGGCTGAGGAACACAGAGCTAGGGATGGGATGGAATGGTCCCAGCACGCGGGATCCCCTGGGCCTGCCCGGGGAGGGGCGGTCAGAGCCGGAGACAGCCCGGGGCGGGGCGGGGGGTTTGTAACAGAGGCTGAGGAGAAGAGTTGATTGTATCCCCCTTGTTTCAGCTAGTATAGGGAATGGCTGCTGGCTCCAGCACGGCCATATGCTGGCTGTAGCAGGCCCTGAGGAGCAGGATGGGATGAGGTGTGTCTCTCTCAGATTCCCCTGCTCCTGTTTGTCCCATCTGGCCATGGGGCCAGTAACACATATACAACCAAGAGACAAAGAGGACTGATGCGAGAAGAGAGGATGTATGGACACACAGGTTTTTACCAGCAAGCAGGAGACCATCCCAGGGGCCCTGACCTGTGGGTTAGGAAAGCAGGTTTCCTCTCCTCCTGGGGTCGAATTTTGCTCAGGTCTAAGCTCCTAGAAGAGACACCAGCCCTGCAGGGAGGTGCTCTGCTCCCATCAGAGCATTTGCTGGCTTTGATCTCCCCAACACTCAGGATTAAGCACTGGCAGCTCCCAGGGACTATCTGTGCCCCCCTCAGCAGCCAGAATGCATGTTTGGTAATGAGTCTGACAGGCAGCAGGAGAGTTAAAGGAAAAGGTATTTGAATTGATCAAAATACGTGATTTGTCACCTATCCACCAGCCTAAAGCCCTCCATGCTGCTCCTTAATCTGGCCCTGGAGGCCAGGCTGTCTGTGAGGGCCTTGTGCACCCCAGGACTTGCCAGGCAGAATTGGATCATATGCTGGATCCATTCAGCAGCCAGAAAGTTCCCATGCGCAGCCAGCCAAATCACCCAGCAGATCATTCAATGGGACCAGCTGCAGGCCCTAGCCCAGTGAGTCCTGACTCCATCTCCTGGCTGATACAACCCCCACTCCTGCTTCCCCTCACCAGGAAATGGTCCCAGGTTCAATTGTGAGTTTCTTTACGTTCAGCACCCCAGACCAGCCTCTGCGGTGCTTACAGACACTGCTGCAAGCCAAAGGGCAGCAGCTCGGATATCTGAGGCGATAAAGAAATCAGACTCCCCCTCTCTTTAGACCTGAATTTCCCTTCATTTCACAGAGCCCTGGGGCTCTCTCCCTGGGAGCTAGGCTTACAGCAACCCTCATCAGAAATGCCAAGCTGCACACTGAGCGGCTAGGAATAGATTCCATGCAGCTCCCTCTGCCTCATTTGATGCTTCCTGGGCCATGGCTGTTTGACCTGTTCGCATACGAAAACCCCGCTGCCTGGCCTCACAGCGCCTTTGTGAAAGCGGGTCCCGTACCTTTGCCGTTCCCTCATCTCCGCCGTAGTCCACGAAGAGCCGTAAAGCGTCAGCTGCCACTGCTTCAATGTCCCTGTCTTCAGTGTCTCATCCCCTGGAAAAGCAAACGGAGACTTGGGTCCACATGGCACCTGCTGCTGCAGCGTACCAAAGAAATGGGCATTCCTGCTTGCAAACACAGCCAGGGCCTCTCCAGTGCAGACACAGCCTGCCTGCAGAACGGGGGAAGGGAACCCTTTGTGCCTCCTAGCCTGGGAAAGAATCAATGTTCTCGGGATTGTTCTGTAATCTATGGGCCGAAGCATGTGGTGGGCACATGGTCTCAGCAGCAGCTGGGTGGCACATAAACGACTGCTGCCCTCACGACTCATGGGAAGGCCCACAGCACAGCGTCCAGATAACGCACATCTGTGCCCACATCAGACTGAAAATGCGCTGCCAGGCTCTAGACCCAGCAGCTCTGCCAGCAATAAAGCAGGTCCTAAGCAGGGAGAGACCTTGGGGGCACAGCCAACCCAGCCATCCTGCTCTGGAGGCCTGGGCTCCAGTCGGACTCAGGCCCCGACTAGCCTCAGCCTAGCCCAAAGTGAGCACAGCCCCTCCCCACAGTTAGCAGCCTCCGTCTGCACTGGAGAGGCCCTAGCCTGGATGAGCAGGAGGTGCTGCAGGGCAGGAATGAGCTGATGGCCTGCACAGGATTGGGACGGCAGGGAGGGCTAAGGATGAGATTTGGGATTGAGGTGCAGGCTGCAGAGGGCTGAATATCAGGGGTGCTGTGGGGGAGGAGAGAGGAGCGGGGAAGAAGAAGCTGTAGAAGACCAGCTAATATAGCACCTGCCTGGATTACATCCAGCCCTGGGGCCTGCACTCCCCACCTGTCCTGCAGGAAGGGAATGGGCCTTTCCCCCCAGGAACTCAGCAGCAGTCAATGGATTCACCTTGCAGGGCAGGAGGAGACTGCAGGCTCTGGGACTGGGCAAGGACCTGACACACAAAAGAGTCAAACGAAAGTCGACAACAGGCCCAGGACCATTTGTTTCCCAGAGAGGGAGGGACTTACCGACATCCCTGATGATGAGTCTGTACATGCCCTGAGCTTCCTCCCCCCAGCACCGCACCGTGGAGAAGGTCCAGTCAGCAAAGCCATTGGGATCTCTGCAAGAGGGAGGAGAAAAATACCCCATAAGGAACAAACACGCCACTGGGCGCTTTGTGTCTGGGCGTCAGGTCTGCAAACAGATTCTGTCCCAACGAGACGGCCGGGAGGTCAGGAGCTGGCAGCCAAGGCGTCCCTGGCCTCAGTCCAGAGCGTATTGCGTGAGCCAACAGGCACGAGCGTGGAGATTCTACTCACAGGCCAGGCGTGTTCTGGGCACTGCCCTGTGAGCTTCCCCACTCTACCTTGGATGGTGAGAGAGGGACACTGGCCGGTACCAGCTCAACCCAGCTGAGCGGGGCCAGCCAGTGCTGCCTGCCTACCTGTGCTGCTTTCTCTGAGACCGGCCCTGTTCACTGGGGACACGGAGCCCAGAGAGAGCTCATGCCAAGGGTGGTGCTGAGAACTGGCCAGGAACCTGGGAGCTGTACCTAATTAACACCCTCCCACTCCCTGCATTGCCCCCGAGAGATGGACAGAAACGGCTCTGTCTAGATTCACCTGCAGCGGACTCGCTGGGCTCTGGGGGGCTTGGAGTGGAGCTTTCCATGGCCAGCAGGTCTGTGTTAATACAGGGCAGGAGCAGGCTAGGAGTCAATTAGGGAGATCCTGGGAAATTCCCCCTCCCCACCCGTGGAGCAAAAGCAGTATGTTGGGCTTCTAGATGCTGGGACTGGAAAGGGCCATGGGGCTCACATAGGGACAGAAGCTAATAAAGCTCCTGAGCTAATAAAGTGCTATCCTTGTACTTGGCTTTCAACTACCCCCTTTCTCTCCAACGACCCACATGGAAATGCCCTTGCTGCACATGGTCCACCCAGCCCCCTCTTTCACCTCCAGACCCACAGACTTTATAGCACCTGGGAAGTCACCCATCACTGCCCCCCAAGCCCATTTCACCCCTTCCTGCGGCCCCCGCCAGCAGAGTTCTGCGCTGCTTACGAGTCCAGGCTCCTGGTGGTCCCAATCTTGGACACCATGCCACTGGGGCAGAGGAGTTTGATTTCCAGGTTGCCACGGCGAGGGTGGGTTATGGTGACGGTCACTGCCACGTGCTCCAAGGTCTTCATGCCAGACAAGGTGAGGTCGGCTGCTGTGACTGGTAACGAATAAAGACGTGTAGGTGTCAGCAGGCTGGTTAATGGGACACACACACAATCAGCGCTCCACACTCCCCCCAGACCGCCCCACGCTGCATTGGCACAATGGAGTGACACGTGGGAAAGACACATGCTAGACACCTCTCACCCGGACTCTCTGCCGAGTGCCCACACATGCAGCAAGGTTGCTCTGGTTTCGAATTTCAGGTGCTCTGGGCACCAAGCTCTGCAATCAGTGTCTCAACTTCCCACGGACTGATCCGTTTTCATTGTTAACAGCCCCTTGCCACCCATGTCAGCTGTGGGAAAACAGCCAGGCCTGGGAAAGGGTTCTCAGTCCCCTCCCACCATCAGGGGAAGGGGGCTGTACACCCAGCTCCGTAGCTTGCGGTCCTTCAGTGGTGACTACACTGCCTTTTCACGCCTGGCTTGTGTGGCTTGGGCTGTGGGCGCTCCAGTGGGAATTTCTCATGCCACCTGAATGCAGTGCTTGTCTTCCCACCAATGCAGGAAGTTTGTCCTAAACAGATACACAGGTGGTACCTGGTCAGAGCTTCCCTCCAGCGTTAGGAGTTTTTGCAGATGCGCTTTGTTCCCAAAGACAAATCCTTCCTTTGCACAATTTTGCAAAGCAGAATAACTGGATTTAGCAGAGGACAGTCCTTGCTTACAGACAGCCCCCTAACCTGAAGCAAATACTCACCAGCAACCACACACCACACAACAGAACCACTCACCCAGGAACCTATCCTTGCAACAAAGCCCGTTGCCAACTGTGCCCACATATCTATTCAGGGGACACCATCACAGGGCCTAATCACATCAGCCACACTATCAGAGGCTTGTTCACCTGCACATCTACCAATGTGATATATGCCATCATGTGCCAGCAATGCCCCTCTGCCATGTACATTGGCCAAACTGGACGGTCTCTATGTAAAAGAATAAATGGACACAAATCAGACGTCAAGAATTATAACATTCAAAAACCAGTCGCAGAACACTTCAATCTCTCTGGTCACTCGATTACAGACCTAAAAGTGGCAATTCTTCAACAAAAAAACTTCAAAACCAGATTCCAATGAGAGACTGCTGAATTGGAATTAATTTGCAAACTGGATACAATTAAGTTAGACTTGAATAAAGACTGGGAGTGGATGGGTCATTACACAAAGTAAAACTATTCCCACCCCACTGTTCCTCAGATGTTCTTGTCAACTGCTGGAAATGGCCCACCTTGATTATCACTACAAAAGGTTCTCTCCCCCCCCCCACCCCCTCCGCTCTCCTGCTGGTAATAGCTCACCTTACCTGATCCCTCTGGTTACAGCGTGTATGGTAACACCCATTGTTTCATGTTCTGTGTGTATATAAATCTCCCCCCTGTATTTTCCACTGAATGCATCCGATGAAGTGAGCTGTAGCTCATGAAAGCTTAGGCTCAAATAAATGGGTCAGTCTCTAAGGTGCCCCAAGTCCTCCTGTTCTTTCTATGGATTTAGCAGAGTGACTCCTGCTGAGCTCTGGCTACTATATACAGCAAAGGCAGGAAATGGCAGATTTGAAAGAAGAGTTGGGAGAGGGGTTTTGTGGTGCCGGATAACTACTGAAGAAAGTAGTGGCAGCAACTAACAGAAATGTTGTACACAAAAGAACGGAGGCTTCTCTGATATCCCATAACGTGTCAGCTGCTCCTGCAAAGCCCAGGAGATGGCCTGAGTTGGATCTATGCTCTTCTCCCTCCGAAACAGTCCGTGTGCCTGTGCTGTGAAGTTAGTAGGGCTGCGTGTGCCACTGTGACGGTCATGCCATGACAAGACGCTTCCTTGCATCTTCTTACAGTCAGAGGTGCTGAAAGCTCAGCTCACCTAACTTTGCAGTCAAAGCGAAATGCTGCATGTCACAAGCTCCCAGCCCTGGCTGCATGCTGAATGCTCCAGCCCTTCCCCACAGGGATTCAAATGCCCTGTCCCTAGGTACACTGTGACACACTCTGCCTTTGGAACAGATGGGTTGAATTCAAGGTGACAGACAGGCCAGTTTACCACAAAAATTCCACATAGTCCTGACTCAGGGACTGCAAATTCCAGAGCAGGGAGAGGAGGAAGCTGATGTCAAGGTTCAGGGCTGCAAGAAGAACCCTTCCATCTTCAGCAACTGCAATAATAATCCTTTGCCCCTTGCTGGTGCCTTTCGCCCGAGGATCTTCAAGCCCTTTGCAAACATCAGTGAACTATGCCTCACAACCTCCCAGTCAGCTAGAGGCATCTTTATTTCCAATAAAGCTTGGGAACCAGAAGCATGGGGAGGGTAAATGACTTGCCTAAAGTGGCAAGTGAGTGAGCATCGAAGCTGAGAGTAGAACCCAGGAGTCCGGACGCCCAGTCCACAGTTCCAACCACTAGTCAATATTGCCTCCCCAGAGGAGCTACCAACGAGAAGAGAAACCGTAATCAGCTAGAGAGTTTGACAGCAGCAGATTTCAACCAGAGTTAAGGGTGGCTAACAGAGTCGAGGGAATAATTGATCAGTTTGGGGGCCAAACCAAAAAAATCCAAACCCAATTCTGGTTCATTTTGAAGCAAAACTGAATTTTGAAGCAAAACTTTCGCTTTACTCACTGAAAGAAAAAAAACATTTCATTTTGCATCCAAAAACACCTCCGATGAAATGAAAACAAAACACCACCAGACCCTGAGAAGAAATGAATTATTTTCAGGTTTTCGTTGTGTTTCCTTTTCAGGTGTTTTTCATCCTTTTTTGTTGTTTATTTTTAAATAAATATAGTTAAATTTCAAAACAAAACATCCCAATGTTCCATTTTGAAAGGGTTGAAATGAACCAGTTTGACTTTTTCGAGAGAGAGAATCGATTTTTTCCAGCCACAATTCATGGCTGGAAACCATGTCGGAGAACACTTCAATCTCTCTGGTCACGCAATTACAGACATGAAGGTCGCTATCTTACAACAAAAAAACTTCAAATCCAGACTCCAGCGAGAAACTGCTGAATTGGAATTCATTTGCAAATTGGATACTATTAATTTAGGCTTAAATAGAGACTGGGAGTGGCTAAGTCATTATGCAAGGTAGCCTATTTCCTCTTGTTTTTTCCTTAACCCCCCCAACCCCCAGACATTCTGGTTAAACTTGGATTTATGCTGGAAATGCCCCACCTTGATTATCATACACATTGTAAGGAGAGTGGTCAGTTTGGATGAGCTGTTACCAGCAGGAGAGTGAGTTTGTGGGGGGGGAGGGGTGAGAAGACCTGGATTTGTGCTGGAAATGGCCCACCTTGATTATCGTGCACATTGTGGGGAGAGTGGTCGCTTTGGATGCGCTGTTACCAGCAGGAGAGTGAGTTTGTGTGTGTGTGTTTTGGGGGGGGGGGGGTGAGAAAACCTGGATTTGTGCTGGAAATGGCCCACCTTGATTTTCATACACATTGTAAGGAGAGTGGTCACTTTGGATAAGCTATTACCAGCTGGAGAGTGAGTTTGTGTGTGTGGTTTTTGGAGGGGGAGGGAGAAAACCTGGATTTGTGCTGGAAATGGCCCACCTTGATTATCATACACATTGTAAAGAGGAGTACTTGTGGCACCTTAGAGACTAACCAATTTATTTGAGCATGAGCTTTCGTGAGCTACAGCTCACTTCATTGGATGCAAAGATGAGAAAACCTGGATTTGTGCTGGAAATGGCCCAACTTGATTATCATACACATTGTAAAGAGAGTAGTCACTTTGGATGGGCTATCACCAGCAGGAGAGTGAGTTTGGGGGGGGGGGGGGGCGGAGGGTGAGAAAACCTGGATTTGTGCTGGAAATGGCCCAACTTGATGATCACTTTAGATAAGCTATTACCAGCAGGAGAGTGGGGTGGGAGGAGGTATAGTTTCATGGTCTCTGTGTATATAATGTCTTCTGCAGTTTCCACAGTATGCATCCGATGAAGCGAGCTGTAGCTCACAAAAGCTTATGCTCAAATCAATTGGTTAGTCTCTAAGGTGCCACAAGTCCTCCTTTTCTTTTTGCGAATACAGACTAACGCGGCTGCTACTCTGAAAACAATTCATGAATGGTTTCAGTGCCCCCTCCATGCATTTTTTGGCAAATTTACTATTTGCCAAACCATGTGGCCAGCTCTAGCTTCGAGAACCACCCCAGCCAGGAAGCAGGAGGGCAGCATCTGCCTCCTTAGCCCCTTCCCGAGCTACAGGACCAGGGGGTGCATTAAGGACTCTCCTTGGCTGCTTTCACACACGGCTTCCTTAGCAACACAGGCCTCTCACGTGTACGGTGACTAGGAGGTCAGTTCTGTGGTACTAGTTTCAGTCTCCATTTGTGCCTGCGCTGAAGAGTTAAGGCTCCGGGGGAGTCCCCAGGGCACCTGGGCGGAATGCAGAGCATGCATTCCTTCGGACATATTTTGCCCAAGTCTCTCTCTTCTGGCATTTCCCAGAATCTTGTTTGCTGCTGCACTTTCAACTTAGAATTCCTTTTAGGGCAACGCTCTCAGAGCTGCCAGAGCTCCCTTATTTTTCTCTCTTAACCATGATCTTTAAGGGTCTTACAGACTGAGAACAAACCTGACTCCATTAACAAAAAACAACCCTGTCTCCTGTTTGCCAGGATCAGGATTGGTTTCTCTCTTGCAGTTTTACAAGGTCTCTCCAGGGGCTGCCCCGACACTCATGTTTCCCTGGACTGGGCAGCCAGGTCTCTGCGTGTCACGTTGGTGTGTGAATTCAGTGCTCAGAAAGGACATGGGACGGACTCTTCCCCCCCACCCCCAGAGCTGGCACAAATTAACCAGGCAAGCTCCTGCCAAGGTGCCTCAGGCCTGGCCTGGAGAGACCCCCATGGGCCAGGGCTGGGGCGGAAGGGAGAGTTGCGATAGGGACACCTGTCTACTGGCAAATCCACTGATGCTTCAAAGTCATTTCAGGGAGACCTTCGAATAGCGGATCACGGCCAACCCAGGCTTTCATGCTGAGCTCTGTCAAACTGCAAGCAGCCATGAAAACCATTCAGATGAGCTTCTCTGCCCACTGCCCCATGACCCATCCTGTGCCAAGCGGTTAGTGCCCAGGACTTGGAGACTGGAGGCCCCCTTGACGGGGAGGTCACCCTTTGTGTGACCATGGGGGAAATCATTCAGTCAGCTTGCGCCTCACCAGGGCCTGATACAGTGGGTTCAAAGCAGGGGGCTCCCTGCCCGCCAGAGGGTGCGAGTGGAAGCCAGAGGCAGCACCAGGATTCAAAGCTGTCTGGCAGGTCAGTCGCTCGGCAATGCCTGTAATAGGGGCTCCCCCTGTCCCTACTTCAGGGACCAGCAGGCACTGGAAATGGACCAGGAAGGCTGCTCCTCTGTGCCCTGCCGCTCCCACCAGGCTCATGAATGGGATGAACTCCCGGGATCAGTGGGCGAGCCAAGGGTTTAAGCGCACATTCGCCCCCTGCTGGAGAGTCTGGGGAGCCATGGCTAACGCCAGTCATTTTAGTGGGTGCAGAAGGAATTTCCCATCATGCATGAAGGCAAAACACAATGAAAGGGGATGGTGGCCGGTGAGCAGGAAAGCAAGGCCAGACTAAAACACACCAGCACATCTGGCCAGTGAGCCCGTGGCAAGGGGGCTCCTGGTATGGGAAGGAAAACAAGCCCCGCAACCCCGGGCTGCACCACATTGGCTCAACTTTACTTCTGGGCCTCTCCTTCCCACTAGTAGCAGCACTGGAGAAGGGCCTTGTTTATGTTGACAGAAGCCAGCCAAGTCAGGAGCTGCAACATTACCTAAAATGGTCAAAGGCAACTGAACAGGTCTGGCCGCATCCCAGCCCCCGCCGTGCTGGGCCCTGCCGTAAGAGCTTGCTAATGCCTGTCTGCCTTTCCAAAGACATCAATTTATTAAACTAATCCTACGCAGGGGATAGGGGAGGGGGAGGAAGCAGCTCAACAAACAAAAGCAGCAGCAGTCTCAAAAAGAAAGGAAAGAATCAGGCTTCTTGGGATACTTAACTCTTTCATAGTCAGTCTAAAATTCCTGGGCTTGTGCGAGGCCAATCTGTCCCTCCCATCCCCGGGACAGGCTTCTGCTCTGGCACCATCTCCAGCCTCTCAGCACTGCATCCCTGTCCCTGCATCCCTCCCACGGTGCAGCGCCCAGCAGGGGAGAACTCGGTCTGCTTTGGTTTCAACCCCACAGATGTTGCATGAGCGAACACCCAGCAAGAGATCCTGCCTCCCCCATTTCTCCAGGGTTCCCTGTTTCATCCTGCTCTCGTCTCCAGTTGGATGGGCGAGAAGGAGCCCTACTGCTTATTAGCACCCTTCAGAAACAAACAGCACAGCAGACAATGAGGGGATCCTGGATCCTCAGTGGCATGACACCACCACCAGGAGATCCCAGCACTGGCTGCCTGCACAGAACCACACACTGGGATGGGCAGTCCCTAGATTGGCAGCTGCTGCCTAGGGCAGGGGCAGATCTGGCTGGAGGTCTCCGAGGGCCACGTTCTGACCAGCATGATGCAGGCACATTTACCTTAGCCCTGGCTTCCTTTCTTCTCGGCTCAGCTACCCCTGCTCTGGCAGCATCCCTGCAGAATTCTGCCCATTCTTACCCCGCTGGGACCTGAGATCCTGGAAATGGCTGGCTGCAGCCTGGGGTTGTCCCAAGCTCCCCTGACAGCTCACCCTGATCAGTTCTTCCCTGGCCATGCCGGAGCCCTCTAGTGATGCGGGGCACTCTCATCCTGCCAGCAGGTATCGCTCCAGCCCCCGGGCGCCCACACAGACCTTGCTCATCACAATGCTACCCCTTAACAGGGCAGCTCCCAACACTGCTATTTCACTGTGAGAAACACCCTGCCTGTGGGGTGAGAGCCTTACCCCAGAACAGCTTTCCTATCTTCCCCACGGCATCATCTCCAGCTCCTTTCCCAGCACCGCTGAAAACTGATCCCTGCTGTTCCCTCAATCTCCCCGTTATGGGCCTTCGCCCCCTCATGCTCCGATTTCGTCACCGGACGATGTTCTCTCTGCACAGTCACACTGCCTGCTGCCCTCTGTTACACTCTAGGAGCCCTCTGCCCAGGCAGATGCTTTGGGTGGTTTATTAGGTGAATTCAGCGCAGGTGAAAGGCAGAGGACTGACAGTCCAGGAGACACGGTGAGCCCTGCACATACACCCCAGCCCCTGGGCCCCAGCCCCGCCGTGCTGTGGTGCACCCCTGAGGGGAGCTGGGTCTCTAGGGCCCGTTCTCAGCTCACACCGGCCAGCAGGCAGCAGGCGAGAGCAACTTTTGGTTGCCAGCACCCAGCTGTTGATTTGAGCTGGTGACCTGGAGGTTTACAAGGCCTTGTACTCCTCTGTGTGGACGCAGGTTGCCTGAGAGACAAGGACAGGGCCCCATAGAGGGGGCATGGTGTGCTTACCATTCCAGGTGACTTCCAATGCCTGAGGGACCTGGGGGACGGTCCTGCCCTCCTTTAGAACAGGGCTGATGTACGACGCTAAGTATGGGACAGATTCCCAGATCTGTAGAAGGAGAGACGGGGGAAGAGTTGGCATCCTGAAGCATCCGAATCCTCCCCAGACCCTTGCTCTCCCTAGCCATTAACACATAAGCCTTTAAGTACGAGTCTCTCCACGGCTGGGCTCGTCAATAATGGATCTATTGCAGGCATTCATGGACGGGGTTGTTAAGTATTTAGAAACAGCTCAGTGAGCCACTGCAGCACGTTGGTGCGGGAACCTAAGTCTGGGGCCTTTCCTGGGGATGCTGGGAGAAGTGGGGGGGTTAGGAAGCTGTCGAGGCATGTTAGGGGAGAAAAGGCGGCCGGCTGACTGTACTGAAGAACAGAAGGAACACAGGTTCATCCGTTAGAGCAGGCGATTGGGAGCCGGGACTCCCAGGTTCCATTTTCAGCCCAGGCCCCAACACGCCGAGTGACTGGGGGCACGTCCCCTGGCTCACGCCTCAGCCTGCTGGGCTGGGAAGAGGGGAACCAGCAGGGGCGGCGCAGAAACATAGGTGCTTTGCCTGTGAGGGTGTTTCCAGGGGAAGTGAAATTTGCTCAGTCACTGAAGCAGCCTGGCCCTTGACTAAGGCAGCCGGGTCCTGGATTTCCAGGGCTCTGCTCGGGCAGCAGAACAAGATTTTTGGCACCTACCCAGGGACACCTAAATACCCTCTCTGAGCAAGACAGGGAGAGAGACAAGCCTGAGAACACTAACATGAGAGAATCCACTGAGTACGGTACTCTGGGGGAGGTGTGATTCTGGCAAACCACGGACACCTTGTGCCCCCTCTAGGGTGGGGCTGGCGGAGCGCTCTTGTTTTTGTACATGCTACTGAGCGGGTGACTGACGAGGAAACGGAGGTGAAGGGATTTGCCCAAGGTCTCACAGCAAGTTAGTTCCAGAACAGGGAATAGAACCCGGCCCCTGCTTTAAGCACTCCCCTTCCACTGCCACACACACAAACAATCAAGGACAGCAGCTCTTGGAGACCTGCAGTTGCCTCCAGAGAATGCCGGGTTCCCCTGCCATTTGGCGATGTCCTGCCATGTCACAAAGCTTGGTGCCCAAAGAGAAGGTGCGACAGCCTCATCCCGCTGCGCACTGCCAACAACCCGCCCCCCCCAGAGCCGTGAATCACACCCGACGGCTTCCATAAACAAGCCTCTTGCCTGTGGCTATATATAGAGTTCTGAAAGAGGGGCAGGTTTGCACTACTTGCCTAAGGACTCATGACTTCATCCCCAAAGCAGCCGTATAGTGAGGCGGTGCAGCAGGAATCCTTGTAGTTTGACCCCAAAGTCAACGTATCACTTACCCTACAAGGAAGGCCACAGTCTTGTCCTCTTTATGCAACTGATCTTTGGAGTCTCTGAGAGAGGCAGACTTGGATAAGGCTCAGCAGAGCAGACATTTAAAGTGCAGCTCTGCTCTGAACAGCATGTCTGTGTGCGAGGGGGTCTGTGTTTACTGGTCTCTGTGATCCCTACTCAAATTTTTCTGATGTTTCTTTTTTTATTATTTTATTGTCTTAAACCGCCAGTGCTGCTGTCTCCCCCAGGGATCTGAGCATCAAGCTTGGCACTTTTCTTCTCAAGCATTACAGATGCTGCACTGGAACTGAGTGAATAATTCTGTTGCTGAAACACGAGTCAGACTAGAATCCAACTCCCACTCCCTGGGCTGGGCTAGTTCTGCAGGGCCAATGGGAGCAAAATGCATGGAAACTCATTCTACACATCGAAATCACAGAAATGTAGGACTGGGAGGGACCTCGAGAGGTCATCTAGTCCAGCCCTCTGCACTCAGGCAGGACTAAGTATTATTTAGACCATCCCTGACAGGTGTTTGTCTAACCTGTTCCGAAAAACCTCCGATGACAGAGATTCTACAATCTCCCCTGGGAATTTGTTCCAGTGTTTAACTATCCTGACACAAAGTTTTTCCTTTGCTGCAATTTAACCCCATTACTACTTCTCCTGACCTCAGTGGATAAGCACAATTTATCACCTTCCTCTTTATAACAACCTTTCACATACCTGAAGACAGTTATTGTGTCCCCCACCTCAGTCATATCTTCTCCAGATTAAACAAACCCCATTTTATTCAATTTATCCCCCATAGCTCATGTTTTCTAGACTGTTAATCATTTTCGCTCTTCTCTGGACTTTTTCCAGTTTGTTCACATCTTTCCTGAAGTGTGGGGCCCAGAATAGGATACAGTCCTTCAGTTGAGGCCTAATCAATGAGTAGACCGGAAGAATTACTCTTATGCCTTGCTTGCAACACTCCTGATAATACATCTGTTATGGGGCCTTGAGTGGCAGGGCAGCCTAGTGGCTAGATTGTTAAGGGCTGGAGTGGGAGACCTGCCCTCCTTTCCCTCAGGTCTTAGATCAGAATCCATGGCCACTCACACCCCTAGACAGGGGAGACGGATCTTGCTCCCAGCTGAGGGGGCCTCAGGACCTGTTGTCTGAGCTGCTCCCTATGTAAGTTCTTTAGTTTGGGGCATGGCCCTGCTAGTCTCCCTACAGTTGGGGCTTGGTGGTAGACTCCCCTTGGCAGGGGAAACTCTTACTTGCTTCCAGTGGATGTGCTGGCAGGCAGGTTGCATCTGTGCCTTCAGGCAGAGACGCAGAGAGCTCCTGCCTCTTCGCCAGTCATCCCCTAACTGAGCCAGTCTCCCTTCTTTTCTCCTCCCTCCAGGCCTGGCATTGGCTTCAGGTATAAGAGGGGGGAGGGGGCAGGGCTAGCTGACCCCACAGGTGTTCTTTAACCCCTGCTGTGCCTGGCAGACGCCTCTCTGCTCCTTCACAACATCCCAGAATGATGTTTGCTTTTTTTGCAACAATATTACATTGTTGACTCATATTTCATTTGTGAGCCACTATAACCCCCAGATCCTGTTCTACAGTACTCCTTCCTAGGCAGTCATTTCCCATTTTGTGTTTGTGCAATTGATTGTTCTCTCCTCAGAGTAAAACTTGCATTTCTCCTTATTGAATTTCATCCCATTTATTTCAGACTATTTCTCCAGTTTGCCAAGATCATTTTGAATTCTAATCCCTTCCTACAAGCAGGGCCGGCTCCAGGCACCAGCGAAGGAAGCAGGTGCCAGGGGTGGCCAATAGAAAGGGGTGGCATTCTGTTCGTGACTGGGGCAGCACGTCTGCGTCTTCGGCGGCAATTCAGTGGCAGGCCCTGCTTCTTCTTTTTTCTTTTTTTTTCTTTGCTGCTTGGGGCGGCAAAAAAGCTGGGGCCGGCACTGCCTACAAGGCACTTGCAACCCCTCCCAGCTTGGTATTGTCCACAAACTTTATTAGTGTGCTCTCTATGCCATTATCCAAATCATTTAGGAAGATATTGAAAAGAAACAGACTGAGGAGATCCCTGCGGGACCCCACTCGATATGCCCTTTCAGCTGTACTGTGAACCACTGATAACGACGACGCTGGGTAGGGTTTTCCAGCCAGTTGTGCACACACTGTATCGTAGGTTGTCTGGGCTCTATTTCCCTTGTCTGCGAGACAGTATTAAAGGCCAAACCTGACCATATCACAACGGCCAGCTCTAACCCAGACTGTGCACAGGGAGCCGACCTGCTGAGGAAGCAGGGACCACTTCTACATCGGCACTTTTCTCCCCATTACTGCAATTTATCAGTAAAAATACATAGCTTTTGTAAAAGTAGAATGAATTATATTGAAATTATAATTCATTAAAGAAATGCTGCTTGAAAGATTTGTTGAAATATAGTTGTCAGGAAGAGAAACATTAAAGAGTGTGAGACAATGGGTCCTCAAACTAATTAACTTAGAGCTCCTACTGAGCTAGGAGATTGGTAAACGTTAGTATGCAAATAAGCTATGTATGTATATTTGTCAGTTTCTGCTTCCTTTTGTCTCCTGTGTTGGATTGGCTTTGGCTTGTCTGTATAAATGGGTTGGCTTGAGCTTTTTGCAGAAGGCTCACATATATCTGGGTGCATTGGCAAAGCGCTTTGCTAATAAACAGAGTGGTCTGACAAATTCAGTGAGTCTTGAATCTGACTTTGACACTTTCAAATAGGGTTTTCCATCCACAGACGGTACAAAATGGGACAGCGGGAGAAAACTGAGGCACAGAGAGGGCAAGTGACTTGCCCAAGGTCAGTAGCAGAGCCAGAACTAGAACCCAGGTCTCCTGACTGCCAGTCCTGAGCCCTGTTGCACTGGACCATACCAGAGTGGCTACATGAGTCTCTGTTAGAAAAGCTTTGCCCTGCTGAGGGAAACACTTCATACACACCTTCAGCAAAGGACTTCACAGCTCCCCCCAAAACGACAGGACCTTCCCGTCTCAAGAGAGCCCCGAGGACGCCCACGCTCACTCAGAGGGGAAGGCCACGGAGAGTGAGAGGTTTGGGAGGTGGGAGTTGACCTCAGGCTGTCCTGAGGCTGAGGAGCGCTGGCCCAGGCCCATGGCTGTCTATTGTAGCCTCTGCCCTTGTCTCTTATACACAGGATGGCCTGGCCACAGCGCTGCCAGCCGGGCAGCGCCCACAGTAACGGGCACTATGGAAACACCTAGGCCAGGCCATCAGGAGCCAGAGACGGGGAAGAAGCTGTTGCTAGGCTGGATTTGACACAGGTGCAGGGCGTGTCTGGGGGAGCCCACGGGGTTGCCTGTCAGATGGGCCTGACGCCAGCAGCCATGAGTTACCTTGGCAGCGTTGACAAGTCTCCAAGCGCTTAGCAAGCCGAAGCCGTGCTCGTGGCTGTGGCTGAAGCCCGCCAGGTTAGTGTCCCAGTTGGTGCGACGATCTTCGTACTGAAAAGGAACCAGAGGGAGCCACATTGGCTGGAGCGACTCAGCTGGGGGGGACACACCTGCCTCTTGCAGGGCGAGCTAATGTCCAGCTACGCAAAGACAAGGGTCGCAAGGACTGGGGGAACTGGGGAAGCACCCTCCTATCCTTGCTGCACACATACCTATGGGCCCTACCTTGCAAACGCAGACCTAAGCCACCCTCTGGAACGTGGGGGAACCTGGCTGCATCTGCCTAACCAGCAGACTTTGCAGAAGAGACTCAGAAGTGAATGGTAACAGCAACAAAGCCAACTCTGGCTCTGCCATGGGGCCTGATTAGAAAGGACAGCTCGCCCTTTGTTTAAACTGAGTCCCAACCGAGCCAGGATTCCTAGCTCTTCAAAAGAAAAACAAACAGCGCAAAAGACAAAAATGCCTCTGCTCTGAAATATCCCAGCCGGTCCCTTCCTCCCTCCCTGCCCAGACTGCAGCCCCTGGAAAGTCTAAAGGCCAGTTTCAAAGGAATAAATACAATCACTTAAATCAGCGCGAGTTGGGGCAGATCAGATCTGGGTCCCATTACTTACCAGGGTTGAGCGCTTTGGCAGCGGTTGTCTCCAATTGTGGAAAAAGTTACCCTATGCCAAAGCAAGTTTTATCTCACTGTGTCACATAAACTGCAGGACACACACACACCAAGTACAACAGAAACCCTGACTGCTGGCCAACCCCTGATGCCTCTTTCAGATTCACTATCTACTCATTGCTTCTGCAGTCAAACTCCCCCTGAAGTCAGTGGGAGCTGTACCTGAATAAGAACCGAGCAAGCAGTAACGTTTGCAAAAGGAGCTCTTCCCACTCTTTCTGTCTCCGAGACTCAGAATTCCTTGACTGCATCAGACGAATCAGGCCTTTCTGCTTTTGCATTGCGAAGCACTTTAGGGGCCATTGCAAAAACTCCAGCGGGTGTATCATCTCGACCCCGCCACCCCCACCCTACTCCACCCCGGCTCATGTACTATCCAAGCGCAGGCTCATCCTGGATACCTCTGAAGATTTGCATCCTGGCAGATTCAGGAATGCATGGAACAAATACTCCATTTATCACGGTGACAGCAGAGAATACCGTCTGCCTCAGGCACATTCCTGGTGAGAACAAGGGGCGAGGGGAAAAGCCATCCATCCACTGGGGTCAAGGAAAAGGAGAGAGTGATAGAGGGTGAGCTCACTCTTCAAGCCCATCCAGACCCATCCAGCATGCCCTGGAGCCTTCGCCAAGAGGGGCCAAGGAGAGAAAGCCGAGGGGCTGGAGGTTCTGCGCAGCTGGAACTAGGGGGGACATCTCGAAGGAGCTCTTTTCTCACCTTGGTGGCTGTGAAGACAATGATGTGCTGGACATCTCGCCAGGTGAGACACGGTCGCACTTGGAGCATCAAGGCAATCATGCCGGCTGCCAGGGGGGCAGCAGCTGAAGTCCCTGTGTGACCCTCGGTGCATCCTGTGCCTTTCTCCATATTCCAGTCTGTAGTCACCTTGAAAGAAAGAGCCAAAGAGACGTCTCCGGTCAGATGCAGCCTTCAGAGTGCTAGAGCTTTTAGGACGCGTGAGCCACCGTGCACACCGGTCTGTGCACGCAGGAATCACTCTCACATCCCTGGCTCGCTCTCCAGTCAGGTTACAGCACCGGCCGATGGAGGCTACACCTTGCTTGTAACACATCCAATAAAAAAAGCCCTGGGTACAGACTGGGCCCAGCGAATGCTCCTGACCATTTGCCCAACGCTCAAGCTGAACCTCAGCCAAGCAACTAGGGAAGACAAATCATCACTTGGGGGCTTTTTCAGATGATGTTTCGTCTTAACGCACCCCCTAGTCCCAGCCAGGGAATAGGCCTAACCCTGCGAGAAGCCACATTTCCAGCCCAGGGTTTCAAAGGAGCAGACAGAGGTTTGGGTGCCAACCTGAACGTTTACCCACTGCTCACACAGACAAGGGCTCCCAGGACACTTCCTGGACAGGCCTGCAGAACTGAGCCCTCCTCTGCTTTCGCCACAGCCAAGATAGCTCCTTGTCTCCCACGGGCAAGATGAGATAAAAGGGACCATGAGGTACAGCTGGAAATGGAGAGGAAGGGCTCAGAGGTTGGGGGAACCAACTTCAAGGCCACAGGGGCCTGGTCTGACAAGGAGCCGCATCACTGAGAAGCAGAAGGGGTGCAGCCATTCCGAGGGCTGTTCTTCCACTGGGCCTGTCTACCCATTTATGGCACTTGTCTGGCTCCCATCACCACAGTGAGCACCTCAGTCTTTAATGTATTTATCCTCTGAGCACCCCTGGGCAGCAGGGCCGGGTGACCATCCCCATGTTACAGCTGGGGCACCGAGAGGCTAAGGGATTTGCCCAAGGTCACACAGGAAGACCGTGGCAAAGCAGGGAATGGAACTGGGGGCTCCCAAATCCTAGGTTAGTGCCTGAATCACTGGAACAGGCTTCCTCTCTGTGGTCTATCCCTCCACTACAGTCCCCCAAAATAACCCACCTACCCCCATGGCTGCTTCACAGGCATGCTTGCGGGGGACTGGGTTATTGTTTGTTTGTCATAGTGCTCATAGACTGGGATTTTCAAAGGAGCCCAAATCCCACTGATTTTCAATGGGAACAGGACTGCTAACTCCCCAAGGACTCTGAGCAACCCAGCCATGTAGTGCAAGGTGCTGTACACCTAGAAAGCAAGGCCGGTGCTATCATTTAATAGATTCATAGATCCCGAGGCCAGAAGGAACCATTGTGATCACCTTGTCCGACCCCAGTATCACACAGCCCAGAGACCAGCCTCACAAGTGCCTAGAAATTGAAAAAACCCAATCCTGATTTAAAAACTGCCAGTGATGGAGAATCCATCACAACTTTGTTCCAGTGGTTAATTACTCTGTGTTATCAATTTACGCTTTATTTCCAGGCTGAATTGGTCTAGCTTCAACTTCCAGCCATTGGATCATGTTCTACCATTCTCTGCTAGACTGAAGAGCCCATTATTCAGTATTTGTTCCCCACGTAGTTACTTATAGACTGTGCTCATGTCGCCCATTAACTTCCTCCGGTTTGCACACTAAGGACTGCAAACTCCCATCCACCCTACAAGTCCTTCGACTGGGGTGAGACGTCTGCCCTAAAAAGGAAGGGATGGGCTAATTGCTACAGCAATTACCAAGCACATTTTGCCCGTAGCTAGCATATTACCCCCTGCCCTCTCAGATAACCAGCCTAGCCATGCATTCCAGCCTAAACGCTCAGTCCTCCCCCGCCCCGCCCAGGGTGATCAGAAGCGTGAAACTGACTGGAAAGCATGTGAGTGGGGAGAAGTGGGGAGCGGTTGTACAAAGGAACGTCAGAGTGGGAATCAGAGCATGAAAGCCCGGCCAGAATGTAACGTTGGCACATGTGCCACTAACCCAACCAGCTGGGCATCTCCTCACAGGAGCTTCGCACAGCATCTGAACAATGCAGCGGCTCTCCTGCAGGAAGGGCACTATTTAAAGGGGGACGGACACAGATACACACACACAGATGAGGGCTTCAGATAGTTTTGTTTGGAGTCACTTCCCATTTCACACACACCTTATGGCTTTTGGCACTAGAATAAATCATGATGCTTTGCACTTGTACAGCGGCTGCTTGAGAATCTCCAAGCACTTCACCAAGATGGGTAAATACAGTCCTCATTTTAAGCTTGTGGAAACAGGTATGGGGAGGTGATGGGACTTAGCTATGCTGTTTCAGCTCCAGAGCTCAGATTAGAAGCCAGGAGCCCTGACTCCTGCCCCCATGCAAACACTGGTAGTGACAAGAGTGTAAAAAAATGGCCAAAGGGCTCCCTGCCCTTAACACTCCCCTCACTGCAGATTGTGTCTCCCTCCCCAGTGCACTTGGGCCAGAATTCTCAAGTGTGTCCAGTGACTGGGTCCCCCACCTGGGACAACAGGGTGCCCAACTGAGACGCTCAATGACTCAGACCTTCCAGTGTCTGGCCTCCAATTTCTCAGCTCGGGCACGCAAAAGAAGTGGCTACTTTTGCAAATGCAGTCCCCACGTCTGTTTGGCTCACTATTAACTCCAGGCAGGCTGGGGTGTGATCCGTTCACCACCCTACCGTCTCCCCTGGAACAGCCACAGGAAGGCACCAGCGACCTCCTCTCCGGACGCCTGTGGAATTCGCAGCACACAGGGACTCTTTTGTTCTTTGTGGTTGCTGAGCCCACGCCAAGCTGCAGCCAGGCAGGCCAAGCTGCCGGAAGGTTTGTCATTCTCACTCGCAGCCAGAAATGGAACAACAACAAAGGGGCAGGATTTAGTAACGGGAAAGTCTGGAAACATTTCCCTGGGAGTTCACAGTCAAACCACTGGATTAAGCAGAAAAGCAGCCACGGGCGGTCTGGGCAAGGCCACACTAGGTTGTTGTGCTGCACACAATGGCTCTGGTGGTAGGGAGACGGAAGGGGCAACTGGCTCAGGAAAGGATTGACCAGGACAAAGAGTATGGCCGCTGTAGGGATTAACCTTCAGGAGGTTAGACAAGCAAACTTTGACTAGTGGGACATTGCACCTCCCCACTATCTTCTGTCTCAGGGAGCCTTTTACAAAGGTCACTGACTTAACTCAGCCCTGGAGAGGAGGCCCAAAATGTCACAGAGGGAGTGAGCAGCAGAGCTGGGAGTGGGACCCTGACATCCTGGCTCAGTTCCAGGCTCTCTTTGCTTCGTTTCCCCTGGGGATAGGAGTCAGCACTCCCAGGGGGAAGGACTCTTGCGGTCTGAGGTAGAGCATTTGGAGGGTTCAGATTAGAGAGCTTAGTGGAGGTTTCTGGCTGGGTGCCTCTGGGCCTTACCAATGTGCAGAGTGTCCCACCCATACCCGGATCTGCAGTGCCCGGCAGCTGCCATGTAGGGGCTCAAGAGCTTCTGTATTTGTGATGAATAAATTCCAAGAAGGCAAGACTCCAGACTAGCATATTCTGGGGAGACCACAGCACTGGGCTGGCACTTACCATAGCCAAGCTGCAGCCTTGTAATTCCACGCATAGCCTGGTGCGCAGGTTCCTAAACACAGGCTCTTGTGTTTATTCGTGGGATTGCTTTCCACCCCATGCTGAGCTCCCTGGGGCTCTCCAGCCAGGGGAAGGCAGCTTTCACTGCTCTCTAAGTGGCCAGGGCAGGTGCTGAGCCATAGTGACAGAGTCCTGGAGCAGATGGCTGATGGCGCCTGCCCGTGAAGGTACGTACAGCGTAGATGCAGGAGGACACCGTGCTCCTGCAATGACACCACAGGCAGCTTTGCCATGGGCACCCGAAGCACAGTTGTTTCGGCAGCCCTAAACTGAGGGCTGGGGCGTGAGGATTGCAGGGGATGTCTGCCCAGCACTTTGACCAAGCGCAGAGCTCCCTCCCTCCCCCCTCCCCATGCTACACACGAACAGGAGAGTGCAGCGTTGCAGCTGCTGGCCCACAAAGGGCTTGCCTGGCTTATGGCAGGGATGGAGTCACACGGGTCACACAACAAGATGAAGTGAGCTGTAGCTCACGAAAGCTTATGCTCAAATACATTGGTTAGTCTCTAAGGTGCCACAAGTACTCCTTTTCTCTTTGCGGATACAGACTAATATGGCTGCTACTGTGAAAAAAGTTCTGCTCTGGTTTTTTAGCTGCCCAGGACCAGATCGCTCCATTGCTCCAAGCCACCTTCCAGCTCTCAACCCTACAAGCTCTGCCCAAAATAACCCACCTACCCCCATGGCAGCTTGACAGGCATGCTCGCCTCTCAACCCTCCTGTTCTGCCCTGCCCTGCCCTGCTCCCGCAGCTCCTTTTCCTGCTGGAGACCATGCTGAACACCCCTCACTCCCCCAGTCAAGAGCTGCTAATGGTTTTTGACTCAGCAGTTCAGTTCTCCAAACCCAGAAAGCTGAGTCTCCCCCAGGGTGCAGCGGGACGGCTATTTCCCCCCTGGCTGCCAGGCGGGTTTTCCCACGGCTCCGTTGCCCAGGTTAAGGGGGACTGGCTTTTCATAGACTTCCCAGCAGCTTACGCCGGAAGTACCAAACCCTGGTAAGCCCCCATTTGCCGCCCTTCCACTTCCTGTGAACTCAGCAAAGGCCTCGGCTGAGACTCGGCAGCACTCATGTCATTACCATGTGGTCACTACCCAGCCAACCTGGCGTCCTCCTGCACTGAGTCTTCACGTGGGACACAGGGAGCTTCTCCCCCATCCAGCTCACCCTATTCTTCCCGGGAAGCGCTTAGTGGCCAGTTTCGCTCAGCTTTTCGGCCACCATATCCTGCAGCCACAGAACTTAAAACTTGCAGGAGTTACCTTTGCCACGGAGCCTCCCTCTCCTGGAGGCTGAGCGCAGACACCAGCCATCTCCTGCCCCAACCATGCCCGTCTCTTTGTAAGACTGTCAGCCAAGGATTCCTGCCAGCTGAAGCAAGGGGGCTGGTCTAGCACTGCTCCAAGGAGGGTGCTGGGGTCAATTAAGC